TTGAACCAGGTTCCTCTCTATTAACTTCAAAATATTGCAGTTGACAGTCCTAATTGAAACAACACACGATAAAGCATTTTTCTACGTTAATATATAATTCCGCCTGAATCGCGTTCATAAAATAACTGATAAAATGATCCCAGAATGTAAAAAAAATATTTAAAAAAAATATATACATTTCTAGAGCTACACAGTATATAGGTTTAAAAATTAATAAAGTACCTCTGTAATTACAGGAGTAATTATAACTTAAGAACGTAAACAACACACGAGGTGAGAAACACATGAATGTGTTGTAGATGTAAGTGATGTGAGTAGCGAGTAATGCTCATACCAGTCTTACTAGTGAGTACTGCTAACACCAGTCTTACTAGTGAGTACTGCTAACACCAGTCCTACTAGTGAGTACTGCTAACACCAGTCCTATTAGTGAGTAGTTTTAACACCAGTTCTACTAGTGAGTCCTCAAACCAGTCCTACTAGTGAGTACTGCTCACATCGGTCTTAATAGCGAGTACTGCTAACACCAGTCCTACTAGTGAGTACTGCATACAAGTCTTATTAGTGAGTACTGCTCACACCAGACATACTGGTGAGTACTACTCACACCAGTCTTACTGGTGAGTACTGCATGCAAGTCTTACTATTGAGTACTGCTCACACCAGACTTGCCGGTGAGTCCTGCTCACACCAGTCCTACTAGTGAGTACTGCATACAACAGTCTTACTAGTGAGAGCTGTTCACACCAGACTTACCGGTGAGTCCTGCTCACACCAGTCCTACTAGTGAGTCCTGCTCACGCCAGTCTTACTGGTGAGTACTGCTCACACCAGTCTTACTGGTGAGTACTGCTCACACCAGTCTTACTGGTGAGTACTGCTCACACCAGTCTTACTGGTGAGTACTGCTCACACCAGTCTTACTGGTGAGTACTGCTCACACCAGTCTTACTGGTGAGTACTGCTCACACCAGTCTTACTGGTGAGTACTGCTCACACCAGTCTTACTGGTGAGTACTGCTCACACCAGTCTTACTGGTGAGTACTGCTCACACCAGTCTTACTGGTGAGTACTGCTCACACCAGTCTTACTGTGAGTACTGCTCACACCAGTCTACTGTGAGTACTGCTCACACTCAGTCCTTACTGGTGAGTACTGTTTCACACCATCCCCTTTATGTAGTACTGCTCACACCAGTCTTCCCTAGTGAGTACTGCTCACAACCAGTCTTACTGGTGAGTACTGCTCACACCAGTCTTAATGGTGAGTACTGCTCACACCAGTCTTACTGGTGAGTACTGCTCGCACCAGTCTTACTGGTGAGTACTGCTCGCACCAGTCTTACTGGTGAGTACTGCTCGCACCAGTCTTACTAATGAGTACTGCTCACACCAGTCTTCCTAGTGAGTACTGCTCACACCAGTCTTCCTAGTGAGTACTGCTCACACCAGTCTTCCTAGTGAGTACTGCTCACACCAGTCTTCCTAGTGAGTACTGCTCACACCAGTCCTAGTGAGTACTGCTCACACCAGTCCTAGTGAGTACTGCTCACAACAGTCCTAGTGAGTACTGCTCACAACAGTCCTAGTGAGTACTGCTCACACCAGTCCTAGTGAGTACTGCTCACACCAGTCCTAGTGAGTACTGCTCACCCCAGTCCCTGTGAGTACTGTACAACAGTCCTAGTGAGTACTGCTCACAACAGTCCCTAGTGAGTACTGCTCAAAACAGTCCTAGTGAGTACTGCTCAACAGTCCTAGTGAGTACTGCTAACAACAGTCCTAGTGAGTACTGCTAACAACAGTCCTAGTGAGTACTGCTCACACCAGTCCTAGTGAGTACTGCTAACAACAGTCCTAGTGAGTACTGCTAACAACAGTACTAGTGAGTACTGCTCACAACAGTACTAGTGAGTACTGCTAACAACAGTCCTAGTGAGTACTGCTAACAACAGTACTAGTGAGTACTGCTCACAACAGTCCTAGTGAGTACTGCTAACAACAGTCCTAGTGAGTACTGCTAACAACAGTCCTAGTGAGTACTGCTCACACCAGTCCTAGTGAGTACTGCTCACACCAGTCCTAGTGAGTACTGCTCACAACAGTCCTAGTGAGTACTGCTCACAACAGTCCTAGTGAGTACTGCTCACAACAGTCCTAGTGAGTACTGCTCACAAACAGTCCTAGTGAGTACTGCTCACAACAGTCCTAGTGAGTACTGCTCACAACAGTCCTAGTGAGTACTGCTCACAACAGTCCTAGTGAGTACTGCTCACAACAGTCCTAGTGAGTACTGCTAACAACAGTCCTAGTGAGTACTGCTCACACCAGTCCTAGTGAGTACTGCTCACAACAGTCCTAGTGAGTACTGCTAACAACAGTACTAGTGAGTACTGCTCACAACAGTACTAGTGAGTACTGCTAACAACAGTTCTAGTGAGTACTGCTAACAACAGTACTAGTGAGTACTGCTCACAACAGTCCTAGTGAGTACTGCTCACAACAGTCCTAGTGAGTACTGCTCACAACAGTCCTAGTGAGTACTGCTCACAACAGTACTAGTGAGTACTGCTCACAACAGTCCTAGTGAGTACTGCTAACAACAGTACTTGTGAGTACTGCTCACAACAGTCCTAGTGAGTACTGCTAACAACAGTCCTAGTGAGTACTGCTCACACCAGTCCTAGTGAGTACTGCTCACACCAGTCCTAGTGAGTACTGCTAACAACAGTCCTAGTGAGTACTGCTAACAACAGTCCTAGTGAGTACTGCTAACAACAGTCCTAGTGAGTACTGCTAACAACAGTCCTAGTGAGTACTGCTCACAACAGTCCTAGTGAGTACTGCTCACAACAGTCCTACTAGTGTTATGCAAACAAAATCAAAATAAAAAAATAAGTAAATACATAAATAGGGTAAATACATAAGATTCATTAATACATAAATAAGATAAATGCATAAATAAGCTAAAAACATAAATGCATAAATAAGATAAATACACATTACATAAATAAATATATACATATATAATACAGTAGGTCTTGATTAGTGCAAACAATTAATCCCGTGAAGTTGCATTATCCGAATTATATGTAATTTTGGCGCACGATTTGAAGAGTTTAGGGAAAAAATTAGCATTAATTAATTTTGTACCAAATCGAATTTATCAGTATTGTAACTCGCAGTAATCGCGATTCTTCTGTATTTAAATTAATAAATCGATTAATTAAATTACGTTCACTTCATGCTATTGATTGTCATATTTGCAAACTTGCAATTAGCAAAAATTGCTTAAGGTTGTTATGGTGAAATAATTTAACCAGTGATATTGAACACTGCTACGAGTATTTCATAATTTTTATCACTGTTTTTCCAAATCTTTCGAGTTCACCTCATCTATATGTGCCTGAAGAAGCTTCATGTAAAGTTACTTATTTCTCGCCTTCCTTATGTTATTTTATTGTGAGGGAAAAGTTCAATAGATAGGAGTAGCGAGGGAGTGTATAGTAACAACAGTTTCATTGCCGGCTACTTGTTAAGGTAGGGTCAGTCTAGCTCCCGCTATCCCTTCCCCCCCCCCCCCCCCCCCGAAAGGTGACGTGTGGGTCTCCGGTCAAACAGTAAATCACTCAACTCACAGCTCTCAACACTACTGTAAGTACACGCCTGATCATATTTTAGTGGACTTATTGGTTGAAAGCTTCACTTTTGACCAATAATTAACTTAGTCCTTTCAGTCTTTATCTGTTAAATGTTTTAATAATCACTACATCTTTTAGGTATTGTACTTATCATGGAGAGTGATTTCTTAAGCAGTGGGTAATCTGTCTCTCTTTACAGCTTGGAATGACAGAGTGGGTCACCTGTCAACCAACGAAAAGAATAGAAGGAGACGGACTAACGTCCTGAGACGTCCCATGTTTAATCTACTTACCTGTTATGTAAGCCAACACAGGACCTAACCCCTCATCATAGCAGTGGTAACGAACCTGTTTTCCTGTCATCTGAAGTAATTATTCACGGCTACACTCTGTGAAGAACGAGGTGGTGGTGGTCACCAACACCTGCTACCCCCCCCCCCCCCCACATCAGCAACGGCTACGATTTCAACAGCATGCAGTGTCACCAACACCTGACACCCCATTACCACGATATACCTATATTAGCATTGAGTTCAAATGTAATTTTTTTTCATTTTATTTTTCATTTTTCTTTCAATTATGATACCCATTCATGTTTTATTATTTTACAGTTTCCGTTTCTAAATAATTGTGTTCATTATTGTCTTATTTCTTTTTCTATTCATTAATTTTCCTGAGGAGGAGCGAGCCTTGGTAATACTGACTGAAGTTGTTACAGGGCTGAGTAAGCCTTCACATTTATCAAGTATTCTGTTTATTTTTTTTAATATTCAGACCAAATTTTGTTAATCCTGTTGGTAGGATTTTCCACACTTCATCAGGAAGTGTCATATGATCTATGTATTTTACCTGTGAGACTCCAGCAATATTAATACTGTCGTCCAATTATGTCCAGGAATTTGTATTGATAAAGCCACTGGTTGGCAAAACGTCTACGATAAAGATACCCAGATGTTGCACATGTGTCTAATTTTGATCACTAATACTACTGTCCTCCGACAAAACAGAATTTCTTCTGTAATAATTTTAAGGATTAATTTCGAAATGGTTCCCATTGGAGGTCGAACTGATGTCAGGAAACTGCTAAACATCCCTAACTCAATATGTCGACTATTTTAGTTAAGAGTTTTATAAAAAAAAACTCGTGGTTTACACGGTTTAGTTTTCTTTTCGGTTGAACGTGTGAGACTGAATGAATATCAAATCACTTGTATATTAAAATATAAAATATAGAATGTCAAAATTATTTACTAAAACATTTTTTATTAGAAGCTACGTTTTAAAAAACTGCTTTTAAATAAAAAAATCTTGTAATTTTGTTGAGCTTTATATTTGTTTGAGGAGTTAGTGGATACTTACAGTACATGTGGATTATGGTGGACACTGATATAGGTGGCACCAGGTGCGTGTTGGAAGCGATGCAGGTGAGGGTGTCGTTGTGCCAGTCCCGGCTCAGTCGTGACACCACCAGGTCGTTGCGCACCAAACTGGGCCCAGACACCTCCCAGCCTCCATCCAGCATCTTCTTGCCCCGCCACCACGTCACGTTGGGCAGCGGCCAGCCTGTGCCACACCAGGGATGGATTTCAGTGTAAGTGGAGACACCGAGACGACCGCTGGTTACACTAGTCGTAACGCAGTACATCGGGTATCACAACAGGTTTCCTGACACGTGTGTTCGGGTTGAATACCTTGGCAGATGTGTTTGAATTTTGAACATTAAGGCTAAAAAATGGAAAATAAAAACAAAAGCCATATATGAACATTGTGGAGCATTATATAATTAAGATAAGCGAAAGAAGCTAAATTATATTACGTAGTTATTGACCTTAACCAGCGTCTACATTAGAGTTGCTAGAGAAGCTTTTATTACTGTTCTTTGTGAAATAATTTTTCTAAAAAGAACGAGGATAGTGCTTGGACGAATAATAATAGCATAATGCATAATCCTTAATCCCTGAGAGATGGATATAAAATTACTCGTAGTAGTATTGAAAGATGTCTTGTAGATGTGAGGAATATTACACAGAGAAAAGGGTGTATACCTGGAGAGGATTTCGGGGGTCAATGCCCCCTTGGCCCGGTCTGTGACCAGTGTGTGCACAGTTGATAAATTAAATCAGGGCAAGACACGTAACTGTTGTAAATATAAGGGATAAAAAGGAATGTTAAAGAAAATATATATATTAAAAATAGTGAATTTTGAAGAGCTTATGTGATTTCTCACACTACCAGGGAATTGTAAAAATATCTGGACTACAGAAGACTTATAAGTTTGAGATATGACCCAACACGCTGAGCTTGTAAGAGTAATGAAGATTTAGTCAGGTCGCTTATCAAGCAGAATTTATGAGTGACATGTCAGGTATGGTTTAAATTCCTCAGAAATTATATTCATTATAAATTAATCTAATTTATATAATGTTATGTAAATGGACACAGATGCAACTAATGTGGCATTAGTTGAATCTGTGTCCATTAACCAAGCATTACTACTAATTTATATAGCTTTGCACTTATAAGAACATAAGAATAGAGGAACACTGTAACAAGCCGACTGGCCCATACAAGGCAGGTCCTAAACACTAGCTGCTCCAACTCACGTATTTGTTCAATCTTTTTATGAAACTTTGTTTGGATAATATTTAGCTCAACAATGGACTTGCTTGATACAACTTTTTCGGCGTTTTGAAAATCGACTGGATGGTTAAAATTTCTCGCATGAATAAAGAGAACATTAAAATCTTGTTTCTGTTTGACTATAAAGTTTATTGCATTTTATACTGGGAATCTTATTAACACAGCTATCAGTATTTTAGGGAAAATTCTTAATCAATTTTTTTACTGTATCAAGATTTTTAAATACAAGTTTTTAAAATTCTTAACTAGAGAAGGTATATCAAGACAGTTTTCATGACAAGAATGAACCAACATGTTCTTCCTGATAAATCTAAATGGTACATATATTTGGAAGATGTTCTATGCTTAATGGCCAAGAATAAAGATATAAATTAATTTCTACAAACTGGCATAGTGCCTGATAAGTGGAAAATGGCAAATGTAATACCTATTTACAAGGCAAGTGATAGGTCCTTGGCTTCGAACTATAGACTAATAAGCCTTATCTCCATAGTGGGCAAATTTATGGAATCAATAATTGCCGAAGCCATTCGTAGCCGTCTTTATAGGCACAGATCGGTTAATGAATCTCAACACGGTTTTACAAAGGGGCGTTCTTGTCTTATGAATTTACTAACTTTTTTCACTAAGGTGTTTGAGGAGGTAGATCATGGTAATGAATATGATATTGTGTATATGGACTTCAGTAAGGCTTTCGATAGAGTTCCACATCAGAGGCTATTGAGGAAACTTAAGGCACACGGAATAGGAGAATTTTTTTCTTGGGTAGAGGCATGGTTGACAAATAGACAGCAGAGAGTTTGCATAAATGGGGAGAAATCAGAATGGGGGCACGTCACAAGCGGTGTTCCTCAGGGGTCAGTGTTGGGCTCGTTGTTTTTCACAATTTACATAAATGACATAGATGAGGGAATAAATAGCGACATAAGCAAATTTGCTGATGACACCAAAATAGGCCGTCCAATTCATTCTAATGAGGACACTAGAGCACTCCAGAATGATTTGAATAGACTAATGCAATGGTCGGAGAAGTGGCAGATGCAGTTTAATATTGACAAATGCAAAGTTCTAAATGTTGGACAGTTAAATAACCATGCGACATATAAACTAAATAATGTAGATCTTAATACTACTGATTGCGAAAAGGATTTAGGAGTTGTGGTTAGCAGTAATCTAAAACCAAGACAACAGTGCATTAGTGTTCTCAGTAAAGCTAACAGAATTCTTGGCTTCATATCTAGAAGTATAAATAATAGAAGTCCTCAGGTTGTTCTTCAACTCTATATATCCTTGGTTAGGCCTCATTTAGACTATGCTGCTCAGTTCTGGTCACCGTATTACAGAATGGATATAAATGCTCTGGAAAACGTACAGAGGAGGATGACAAAGATGATCCCATGTTTCAGAAATCTTCCCTATGAGGATTGACTGAGGGCCCTGAATCTGCACTCTCTCGAAAGGCGCAGAATTAGGGGGGATATGATCGAGGTGTATAAATGGAAAAGAGGAATAAATAAAGGGGATGTATATAGCGTGCTGAAAATTTCCATCCAAGACAGGACTTGCAGAAATGGTTTCAAGTTGGAAAAATTTAGATTCAGGAAGGATATAGGAAAGCACTGGTTTAGTAATGGAGTTGTGGATGAGTGGAACAAACTCCCGAGTACAGTTATTGAGGCTAAAACGTTGTGTAGTTTTAAAAATAGGTTAGATAAATACATGAGTGGGTGTGGGTGGGTGTGAGTTGGACCTGACTAGCTTGTGCTGCTGGGTCCGGTACCGTGCTCCATCCTTGAGTGGAGGTGACCAGACTGGGTAGGTCATTGGGCTAATCCGGGGGAGGGGGACATGGGCCTGCTCCGCGTCGGTCAGTAGGCCTGTTGCAGTGTTCCTTCTTTCTTATGTTCTTATGAATTAAATTGTTTAGCTCCATCCATAAAGTTTACTGTTGAGTTCGAGCGAAATAACTCATTTTTTTTTTAGATGTGTCAATTATCAGGGGAACTAATTTAAATTCAAAATATAAAGAAATCCAACAAATAACTGCTTTTATGTCCACTATTATTTTTCACATCATGACATAATTAAACTTTCTGTATTCTCATATATGTTTTTGAGAACTCTGCTCATTTGCAGCCCAGGGCTTATAGATCAGGAAATTTTGAAAATTTAAGAAATAGCGAATGATCTGAAATACCCTCAAAATTAGTTGACAGATCTTTTAAAATTACCAGAGCGACATTTTAAAATTCAGATAATATGTTGCTTCTTCCTTACTATGAAAACCTTCATGATATACCTTCTTTACTTGAGAATTTTGAAATCTAGGTTGTAATTAAAATTCGTGATACACACAAAAAAAAAAAAATTAAGAATTCCCCAAAATGCTGATGACTGTGTAAGATTTCCTGTAAAAATTATATCAGAGGCAAGAAGAAAGTATCGGAGGCAAGAAGAAAGTATCGGAGGCAAGAAGAAAGTATCGGAGGCAAGAAGAAAGTATCAGAGGCAAGAAGAGAGAGCATCAGAGGCAGAGGCAAGAAGAGAGAGCATCAGAGGCAGAGGCAAGAAGAGAGAGCATCAGAGGCAGAGGCAAGAAGAGAGCATCAGAGGCAGTAATACTCACCATCTCTGGCGAGGCAGGTGAAGATCACCATCATTCCCTCCTGGTAGGGTCCCAGGACCCCGTGTTTGGGAGGTCCCGACCTCCTGTCTAACACCTCCACATTCCGCGGCGTCTCTGCGAGAGTAACATTTTGTCAGACATTTTTCCTTTCCCAGCAAACATACTTTCACTTTTTACAACCAAGTTATAATTCTCTTCTGATGCGACTGCAAATTCTAGTCTTCTCCCAGCAAATTTCTTTTGGCTTCTTTTTTTTTGTTTGATGTTATTTTTTTTTGTGAAGAAAGCATAGTTGATTTTAATATATTTAAAATCATTTCATGTTAGTAATCCTCGTGGTTAGTAAAGAACAAAAAGGTACAATATCGTGACTGGAACGATACACAAATAACCCGAACATAGGAGAGAGGAGCTTACGACGTTTCGGTCCGACTGTTATCATTTCAGTGATATAATCACAAGTTAATTTACCTCAGTCAACACTGGCCACATGTTCTCCTAATCTAATGTAGTCGATTGAATGATACTCGAGGACCTTAACTGTGTTTTTTTTTTTATTTTGTATAGTTCTTGTGATCGTTGTTCAATTTAATATTGAAAGTAATTATAACCTGTTGCTCCAAGTTCATCGGTGATCTTTAGATAACTTATCAACGTTTCGGTATTTTCCGAAAGTAGATTAAGCGGATTATTCCTTCCATTTTTCTAGTCACGATGAAAACATACTTTCTCTAGAAGTCGAAGAATTGTAAAGTCCCTTGCAATAATTTCCAGTATATTTAGCTAAAAGTAGCAATTTCGTCCCACAAAGTTTTCTCTGTGACAGGTACAGGAAACTTCAGACCAGTTCTTATGCCATCCAAAAAAAAAGCAACAGTCAGTTTTTGTGTCGTCTCGTTCTGCATAAAGATCTTAATACTGCATTACTTAGCATCATTTAATATCACTCTCTTCCTGTATATTTGGAATTAGGCTTATTTTCAAAAGTTCGGCATGCCTAAGTCTTGAAAATAAACTTTGTTAATGCAATAATATCTATATTTCATGTACATGTAACTATTATTAACTCTTGTTCCAAGTGCTTCAGCTACATGCATGAATAATTTTGGGAAAGGTTTCCTCTTGTAACTTCCTCTAGTCCTCTTATTTTTCAAAATTTAAAACATACTCGAGCAAATAAACTGCAACACAAAGTTAATTTGTAACCTAAATAAAAATTACTCAGCTAAATATTAATCTTTGATTTAAATAAGCATCCAAGTTTTATTATTACTCACCTTAAAGATTTCTTCGCCAGTTCTGGTTAATGAAAAAAAAAAAACACTACATATAAAACAAACCTTAATAGACAAAGTTTCGTTCAAGTCTACAACGATTAACGCGACATAAGTAGAAATAAGTGAGGCCACAAGAGAATAGGTTAGGTACATCATCGTGTGGAATTCTACTAATTGCGTTCACTGACGCCTGGGATAACGTCTACGATAAACATGTGTGTGCAATGGCTGTGATGGAGCTCTCTGGAGCTGGGCTAACAGCATTGCCCAATAGAGTCGAAGAATCATTGTTAAATTTATTAAGAAATTTTAAACTGATAGAAGTAAGGTTGTGTTGGAAACAATAGTGATATAGTATAAGGGACGGAGAGAGCAAAAATTGCAAAGGCATGTTAGACAGATATTCAAAAAACATAATAACTCATAAAATAGTTCCTGAAAAAACATGAAAATTGGTCTACAAACTGAGACAGGGAAGAAAAATGAAATAAAAACTAACTTAGTATCCATAATACAGCTAGCCAGAGTGCAAGAAATAATATAATTGAACTGTGTAATTTCATGTGCAAGAAACAGATATTATTACAATAACCGAAACCTGGTTCAACCTCAAAAATAGGAACCTGCCAGAGGTATTTATTATTCCTAACTGATAGTCACCACACAAGGGCAAACCTTAAACTTGCAATTTTTAAAGAGCATTAAAAGCTAATCTTAGGTGTAATCCACAGGACCTCCAAACCTAGATAGTGATCACGAGAGTGTCTAGGCATCTAGAATCGAAAATGTGTTTTTAATTGGATCAATTTAAAATGATCTTGAAATGGTCCAGGAGTGATTTTTAAAACAATTTGTGCTAAAACAACCTAGAGTAAATAAACAGCTGGATTTGGTTCTGGCAAACAATTATTCCTTGATAAATAATCTAGAGGTTAATGACCTTGGAGAAAATGAAAGTCCCCAATATTCCTCCTGCAGATTTTATGGGCCAATGGATTATCTGAATAGTGAAGACTGTGGTAAACTGACTACGGGTCATAGTGGGGGAGACCGTATTGAAGGTGGTGATGCTTGCTAATAAGACATTTCCAAAAGCACAAAATAAGCTGCCCAAGCTGTATATATTCCCATTTAAAGAATTTAGATCAAACATGATTGATAATTGAATAATAATAAGGAAAGCCAAACGAGAATATGGAAATAAGACTGAGAGGGAATCAAAAAAACAATCCTAAGGGTTTCTTTCAGGTATGTAGGAACATCATTAGGAAAATGAGACAGGCCCACTTAAATGTAAGTCAGGTCAGCTTGCTGTTAGTTACAAAAAAGTCTTCCATTTTCAGTATATTTCTCCTCTGGTTTCTCACAAGAGGCTAGAAACATAATCCCGGAAATCATTAATTTTGCTGGTAAGGGGGAAAAAATTATGCAGTATCGAAGGCACTAGCGGCATGGTTCTTGAAGTACTTGACAGACTGGAGCAAAACAAGTCACCTGGTCCTATTGAGTTTACAAGGGTTGTCAAGGAATATAAAGAGGAACTTAGCTAGCCAGTAGCTAGTCTCTTCAACATATCACTACAAACAGGTATCGTACAGGATAAATGGAAAAATGGTGTATATGATGCCCACTTATAAATTGGGAGATAGGTCCTTCTCTTCAAATTATGGACCGATCAGCCTAGCCTCAATTATGAGAAAGTTTATGGAATCAATAACTGCTGATGCAATTCGAATCCACCTTGAAAGAAATAATTTAATTATCTAATCTTAAACAGTTTTACTAAGGCATTCAGAGTTTTTGTCAAGGCGGTAGACCAAGATAAAGAAAGCGATATTGTATATATGGACCTCGGAAAAGTCTTCAAAAAAGTTTCACACATGAAACTGATTAAGAAAGTAGTGGCACAGTGAATAGGAGGAGAAATTATCTCCTTGGTTGAGCCATGGATGACCAATAGCAAGACATTGATGAGGGAATAAACAGCAACATAAGTTTGCCGATGACACTAAAATAAGCCATCAAGTATTTCCTGATGTGGACACTATAAAGTTGCAGGATGGCCTGGTTAACTTGGTGCGATCAGAAAGCTGGCAGATTCACTTAAAGCTTCAAGGTTCTAAACTTAGGAAAAGGGAATAACTATGGCATTAAGTAAATACAAGAAAGATCTAGGAGTTAAAAAAAAATATCGAGCTAAGGTAACAGTGCATAAATGTTCGCAATATAGTCATACTTCAGCTAAACATCTAAAATGATGTAGTTGAAGTTTTGGCAGTAAAAATCGAAAACCAAAACCTTGTCATCGTTGTTATATACAAGCCTCTGGATGCTACTTCTCAACAATTCCAGGAACAGCTTAGTAAAATTGACCACTGTCTGGAAAAATCAACCAACTCCTACACCCATCTTACTGCTGGGTGATTTCAACTTAAGACATCTAAAGGGGAGTAATGTAGTAAGTAATGTTTTAGCAGAGATAACTCCAGGAGGCAACTCGGACGAAAATTCACACACACAACACGAGGAAATTAAATCTTCATCAGAGTACAAAACAAATTCTGGCCACAAAATAGAGCGAAACACCAATGTCAAAGACCTGGGAGTGATCATGTCGGAGGATCTCACCTTCAAGGACCATAACATTGTATCAATCGCATCTGCTAGAAAAATGACAGGATGGATAATGTGAACCTTCAAAACGAGGGATGCCAAGCCCATGATGACACTCTTCAGGTCACTTGCTCTATCTAGGCTGGAATATTGCTGCACACTAACAGCACCTTTCAAGGCAGGTGAAATTGCTGACCTAGAAAATGTACAGAGAACCTTCACAGCGCGCATAACGGAGATAAAACACCTCAATTACTGGGAGCGCTTGAGGTTCCTAAACCTGTATTCCCTGGAACGCAGGCGGGAGAGATACATGATTATATACACCTGGAAAATCCTAGAGGGACTAGTACCGAACTTGCACACGAAAATCACTCACTACGAAAGCAAAAGACTTGGCAGACGATGCAACATCCTCCCAATGAAAAGCAGGGGTGTCACTAGCACGTTAAGAGACCATACAATAAGTGTCAGGGGCCCGAGACTGTTCAACTGCCTCCCAGCATACATAAAGGGGATTACCAACAGACCCCTGGCAGTCTTCAAGCTGGCACTGGACAAGCACCTAAAGTCGGTTCCTGACCAGCCGGGCTGTGGCTCGTACGTTGGTTTGCGTGCAGCCAGCAGTAACAGCCTGGTTGATCAAGCTCTGATCCACCAGGAGGCCTGGTCACAGACCGGGCCGCGGGCACGTTGACCTCCGGAACTCTCTCCAGGTAAACACATGAGCTATTTAATCTCTGCAACAAATTTGCTATAAACCAGTAAATAACAGACCCAACAAGACTGATAAATACACTAAACCTCATCTTCACCAATAACGATGATCTTATCCGAAATTTAACAGTATCAAAGACAATACACTCAGATCACAAAATGCAAGAGGTACAGACATGCATACGCAGAGCTCCTAACCAGTAAAAGGTGACCAGTTATGAAGGTGCCTTCACTAAATTCTATTTGAATAACAACATACAGTGGGATCAAGTCAACCATGTCCTAAATAAAACAAGTTGGGAGGATATTCTAAACACAGATTCAAACCTTTGCCTAAAAAGAATTAACTTTGTGGCACTTGAAGTTTGCTCAAGGTACATTCATTTAATCAAAAGGAGGAGAAGTAAACTAGAAAGAGAGAGATGCTTCCTATACAGGCAAAGGCAAAGAATCACAGAGCTGTTGAAAGGGGGCCAGAAATTCTGAAATACGAAAAATAGCAAATAT